TATATTTCTGTCTTCCTGCAGAACACAGATGGTAAAGTTAACTGAGGATAAAATCAAGACAAGGCGAGGTTTAAGTGAGGCTATGTGAGATAAGGTCATGGTTAAGTATGGAAAAGTACAAAAACTTGACAGAATTGTTAGTTTTAGAGAAAAATATTCTGTACATCCACCGTCCTCTGACAGTAGCTCAGCAGCAGAATAAACGTGTTTAGCCATCAGCGCGTCCTTTTGTCTGATAAAGATGTGCTTTAGTGCCGAGGTAATGATGTCACTAAGTGGATTGTTGTTGTTGCACTTGTTCTCTGAGCCACTTGACACATTTTGTTTTAGTTTTTCTCTCTCTCTCTCTCTTCTCTCTCTCTCTCTCTCTCTCTCTCTCTCAGTAACAGTCAGCAGATGAGCATCAAATGATCAAGCTGAAGTGTTTGTATCTGGCTGGACATTCAACAGATAAAGAGCTGTCCCCATTTGGCGAATTATGTAACTCGCACCCAAACAAGGCTTACTACAGCAAAAACAACTCGCCCGATGTGTCACAGTGAAAGAGGGAGGACAGAAACAGTGCGGTTTTACTAAAATATTCCCTAATGCGAACACTTAGTAAAATGCAGCAGCTGGTCCATTTCACATTATTTCTTGCAGTGATGTGATGGACTTTATAAGCTCAAATGTGTTACTCGCCTGAGCTGAGACAGTTCAATCAATATTGATCATCTCACCCAAAGCTGAGTGAATCATAAGTACAGATTATGAGTGCAGCCTGGAGGGTTTTTAACAGATAATGAGAGATTGAGAAACGAGAGATTGAATTTGTTGGTTGGAGTGATTACATCCAATCGTCCTTTATGTCGCGGTGCTATCAGGACCAATACAGATCCTTCAGCCCCCAGAAAATCTTCCCAAATGCTGTCATTATCTCCTTTTCAATCATTTCCACTTCCTAAAAATGTTGCGATAGTTTGTGTATCTGTGCAGCTATAAGGAGGGGTGGTTGAGTGTCTTAAACCCAAACTAATAAGATTTATAGACCCATTCATTGCTAGGCAAACCATTCATATTGCTGAGTCAGTTAAACAAAAGAATGAAAAACAGGGTTTCAAACTAATCTGAAGAGAATCTTTGAACACTTGGCAAGAAGAAAAACACTCATCAGGTTGTGTCAATGAACATATTAAGAGAGCTAATGTACCATCACTGATGTACGGTTTTGTGTGTGTGTGTGTGTGTGTGTGTGTGTGTGTGTGTTTTCACTCTGCAGTATTCAGCGACAAGATCATGTGGAGATAATGATGATGTTTGTATTCTTAGCTCTCTTTAAACCACGTTGAATGCCTGGAATATTATTAAACTACAGTGTAATTAGTAAAATCTAATAGACTATTATCAGCATATAAGCACATTTGAAAGCGAAATAAAAACACAAGAAAACATGAAAGCATCAGGCAACCGAACAGCTTCAGTCCAAAGAGAATGAAAGCTGCATGGGGAGAAAAAAAAACAAGATTAAGGCGTTTCCTCTTGAAATGCCTTGTGGGCACTGACTGCAAGAGGCTCTTTGTGTGTTTGTGTGAGACATTAGGGGTCATAATTGAGTTGGGCTGAACAAGGCCAATGACCAGGGCCCAATGACCAGAGCAAAAAGGTCAGTGGCTGGAGTTTATTGGGTTGCCGTTTGGAAATGCTACTAAACCCTGCAGGCTTTACCCATTTGCAACAAATCACTTCCGACAGATAAACCGATCAGCTGCTATTTGTGGAAGCATAGCATTTACTTAGAAGCCATGAGGTTGTAGGTTCAAGCATCAGTGCGCGAGTTAAGAGACCGTTGTTCAACACTTAGTGAAGCCAGACTCAACACATGTGACGTCGCATACTTGTGAGCTGCTTCAAATCTGAAAACAACTAGTTTATGACTCCAAAGGGAGCCATTCTAACCTTTGTGAACAATATTAAGATTAATCCTTACATAGTGTAACATACACAGTCTGGTCTGACATTCATTACATCAGTATCTCAAAGCAAGCAAAGACATTTACCCTACAAATGACCAATTTTAATGTCCTTTATGCTCTCTGTTGCTCTGCCAGACATCACCTGAAGAACATGTGCTGCTGTAATTTAATTTATTGCTGTGCACTACACAGAATGAGAATTGATTTTAAAACAGGAGGAAAAGGGTGACATGAATAACAATATCATGTAGTGAGAAAGAACAATAAGCAGATCGATAGTCAGTGGTAAATAATGTTTGTCCGAAGAGTAAAAATAATGGTTTTGTGATAACTTGTCAAGTAAATTAAATTAACCTTCTTGTGGTTGTTGTTTTAATCACGTACACGTTAGGAGTGATCTTACTTGTTCAAGTTGGCTGACAATTGACATTTCATGTGATGTATTAACACAAGGTGCTCCACCATCTTCGCTGCAGTTTAAAGCTGACTGATAAATTTTAATTTATTTTGAAAATATTAAGCTGCTTCCCGTGACTTAAAGAAATACATTTTTACTCTGCTTTATATATCTTATTCTTAACAACATGTAGAGACAGGGTTACTGCATGGAGTAAAAGGTCGACTTATGGTCATTAAACTTCTGGTGTTGCACATCTTACATCACAAAACAATTACTTTCTTGTGAACAAACAATAATGTATTTAATGTTCTTGAAGAATTATAATGCACTCTGTGGCAGGAATTTCTTGTCTGGCCTTAAAGTGCTGTTGCCTGAAAATAATCCTTTCTCACGCTTCCTGCATAATTTATGAAATTTAGTCTTTACTTCTATGTCCTATGAAAGGAGCAGCGAGATCAGTAATGAAGTACCAAAAAGCAGTTTGAAAAATTACCTTGCATGAATAATTTAACAGATTGAGTTGTTTGAATTTGTTTTCTGACAAGTATAAGATTGACAAAGCAAAGCAGACAGTTTGATTTGCAAGTACCAATTACTTATTCAGTAGATGTAATTTTCTTAGAGGCAAAGGAGATTTCAGATAATTGAACCAGTACAAAGAAAAGAACTGAATGGCCCTGGATTTTTTTATGCACTGCCTGTACAGCCTTTGTTCTTTAAACCCGATGTACACATGCATCTGAATACGGTGGCTTGTGCAGTTATATATTGGTCTGAAGGCGGTGTTTATGTGCTTCCGGTTCCCAAAAATACTGACAGTGTAGACAGTAGAACTGCTAAGTTTTGTAGGGAAAGTCGAAGGGCTTGTCTTAAGTCAGTTGGAACAATCCAAGGAAGGTCAGAAGTCTTGTTAAAGTACGTTTCAAGTCTCAAAGCTTGTCAAATATAGTCTGAAGTCTTGTCAAAGCAGCCCTGATGTCAAGTCTTAAGACTTGACAAACGAAGCCTCAAGACAAATCCAAATCATGTCTCGTCAAGTCCCAGTTGTGTCTCAAATCTTGTCAAAGCGAGTCTTACATCAATTCTAGGCCCAGGTCAAATCTGAAGTGTTGTCAAATCGAGCTTGAGGACTCCTCAATCGAGTCTCAAGTCACCACTCAAGTCTTTTCTTTAGACTTGTCAAAGCAAGGTGTATTAACTGCTGATGGACTCAGAGGGAGAGAATGAAACTCTGCCCACAAGAACTACAGTAAACTGCTGTGTCTTCCATTGTTTTTTTCTTGAAAACAGGCGCTGCAATTACACATAAGCTGTCTGGGGATTTGCATAGTTCATTAAACTACTGCTGACACTTTCTCAATGGCATTAACATTAATTTATTTATATCAATATTTGACCACAGAGACAGCCAATTACGCTTTACTTCTCTGCTCTCTCCGGCTAAATCTAATGAGTAAATGAGTTTCCAAGAAACACTGTGCTGCACTGTATGGCTTCGTTCCAGGTCAGTGAGGTTAATATCTATAGTGCAAGTGACTGTAACAAGCCAATGTGAATCATGTCTCTCTGAGAGCTGGCAGACTGCATCACCATCTTGGAAATATGTGGAACAGGAGCAATCCCTATTAATAGTCCCTCTGTGTGAAAGCTTTTAATTTGGACTTTGTACAGCCTGATCTGTAGCACACTGTGAAAATAATGTGCAAAAACCCACTGCGTTTCTCTTCCAGAACTTTCACACTGCCATGCTGGGGCTCCCAGATCCTTCCCTAAAAAAGATGTTTTCATTGCAGATACAAACTCTCTGCTGGCCAGCACTGGTCCTGTGACACTGTCCATACAAGCTCTGCAGCTGAGGCACCCATTCTGTAAGCAAATCTGACTCCATCATAGAGCAATATTAGAAAATTATTTATCAATCAATACCTCAACTACTAAGCCTAACAAAGTTAATATTTGTGTTTGGCTCCAGTGTTCCTGTTCTCTTCACCTCCTGTGTGTGACAAAGGGACAAAAAGACTGATACCAGGTAAAGATAGTCACGGTGTGGCTGCAGCTAATGTTCATATCTGTTCCATATTATTGAAATAATTAAAGTATTTTTGTTAGAATATACTACTGTCCAATACCTACAGACAGCCCCAAAAGTAAGTGAATGGAATAAAAGTAAAATTTGAAAGCGTTTAAATTCATTTGGATTCTTTTTTGAAATCCAAAGAAGAATTCAATCACTTAAAGACAGAATATGGAAGCAGAATTGATTACCAAATTAAATTAACTTCTCTTTTATAATGCATAATTTAAATGCACATTTATATTAGCTTTTTTAAATACACCAGTTTCAATTCAACACTATAGAACTCTATAATTATTCCATTGACACACTCCATACCCTAAAAGTAAAAAAATATTCCAACATATGATCAGTGCTTATTGCCTTCATACAGTAGATCAGTCTACATTAAAGCTGCAGTAGGTAGAAAGATAGCGGATTGTCTCATTCCCTGGTGGATTCTGGCAAATACCAATAGGAGCACAAAGAGGAACCAGATGTTTTTCACAGATTCTGTCTCATGTTCTACTGTCAGGATACAGTGAAAGTTTTTTTTTGTTACCTACTGCAGCTTGCGTTGAATGAAAAACAAACATCAATTGTAACAATGCTTTATATAATATCGTACTGAACTAGTTTACAACTGTACATGGGGAAAACGTCCCATATATGACCTACTGTAGCTCTAGAAAATCCAAACACGCACATCAAAGCATGACTTAATGTTATAAATAATTTACAAGAATAATAGTATTACAAGGAAAAAATAGTGCCTTAGGAAGCGGGCACTGTCCATGAACTCTTTCAATACATCTTCTCTGTACATACATTATGTCTTCACATGTATATTTCATAACAATCCACATCACCTAAATAGAAAGAAAATGTATTTACAGTACAGATATTACAATAGAGTGTAATCCGAGTTAAGCATGAGACAAGAACAATGTAGTGACTAGAATGGGCGACTGAAATAGTTCTACAAAACATAAACTGAACTATTTCTTTTATAATTTCAGTAAAAATGCCTACATGTGCACACACAATTAGGAATATTAGAAAGGATTTAAATTTTTTAGTTAATTAACAAAAACAACAACAACTTCAAACTGTTCTTCAAATACATAATTTGGAAAAAGAAAGGCCATGAGTGACAGACAGTGGGTTCTGAATCGCTTGCTGTTGCTGGGTGATTACGAAAATCCAGTGATTTTCACCTTCTTCTCTGTTTTGCATTACTTATGAAGACTTTTCCACAGTAAATAATAATACATATAGACTGAATCAGACAAAATATGGCAGCAATGAGATTCTGTTCCTATGATAAACACCAATCCTTTAGTTATACCCAGGCCCAAAAAAAAAAAAAGTCCCTATGCACACTGCGGAAGTATTATGCAGAACCATTCATTATCCTGCTTTTACTTGTACAAACATAAATCTTTCATTTTTTTCTTTTTTCTTTTTTGAAACAGCGAGCCTGAAATTTGCAGCATTCTGAGTAAGACTGAATGGAAAGTTTCCCCAAATATTAATATATGCTAAAAAGTTTTGTGCAACTACATGTGGAATTACTGATGTGGTTATCACTGAGGAATAAATGAGTGTGAACACCTCTAAACACCATCTCTGCCTTCTATCTGCAGCCACCCTGCCTCGCTGGGGGACAAAGCATAAAAAACCCATCATATTGCGTGTTATTAGTGATGGCCCGAGTCAGCTGTGAAATGCCTCTGCTCTGGGGGTTTACTGGAGGCCGGTGACGCAGCTCAGGACTGGCACAACTTCCAAGTTAGCCAGAGGCTCCGGCACTGACATAATGCCATTTAATGAGATGCCCTAGTCCACAAAAGAGACGAAGATTGAAATGCTGCTCCTGATCCTGTGCCAAACCTTTTCTGAGGAGGCTCCATCTTCAAGTTGCTTTGAGATTACAGAAGCAAGTCTGAATCTGAGAGGAAACTGACACTGGGCAGACGACTGAATGAAGCAACTTCCCAAAAAAACATCTGTATTCAAAAGATGGAACATAACGGAGAACGAATCCCACAGAAAACCTCAGAGGATCTTTTGGGAACAGTCTGGACTGAAAAAACCCTCCTCAGAGCCATGTTTTTGCAAACTGTGATGTAGTACGCTGGTCTTGAGCAAAAACATCCTGCTGAGATCAACATTTCAGTGATGAAGAAGTCAATGTGGCGTCCCCTTTCTTCTTAGCTCCAGAGTGTGCAGGCCCTCCTGCCGACCCAGGGCGTGCTGTGTGCCCACTTTGTGGGCCGTCTCTGTAGCAGTGATGTCAATCTGGGCGTACTTGGTGGAGCTCTTTCCTGTCGAGATATAAAAACAGACCCTCTTAACATGAAGTATGTCATAGAAAGTTAGGGTAACATACTTTTTTTTTTACTTGCTGCGGCAAAGCTAGTTCCTTTTGGTAGCAAGAAGAGCTGAAACAATTAGGCAGAAAATTCTAGTAATAATTCAAAGTTTTAGAAAATCCATTTATTGGCTTTCTTGCTGAGAGTTAGATGTGAAGGTTGATACCACTCATGTCTGTAAGGTAAATATGAAGCTACCACCAGCAGCTGGTTAGCTTAGCATAAAGACTGGAAATGGCTAGCTCAGTACCTCAGTATTGATGAGCTCCGACGTTAACGGTTCTGTTATTGGTTCGGTATTGGAGAAATTATTTATCTATGGTGCATTTTCCCAATCCAAAAGAGAGATGCCTCTCTCACATACACAGACCTGCTCTGATCTTGTCTCTTTGCAACAATAGTGGCGAGAAATAAATGCTCAAAAGCACTAGAGTCAATGCTAAATGCTCATTATCACAAGTGCAACAGGTCTTTTGCATGTAAGGCGGAAACATGAGCAGGACACACATACAAGTGAAGAAATGCACAGTTTTCAACTACATGGCTCGTTGCCTTTAAGTGTTCTTAAAAAGTCCAGTGTGTAACATTTTGAAGGATCTGTTGGCAGAAATGGCCCTTTCACATTTTATGGCCACCATAGTTTCTCCTACTTCTTGTCAAATACAGACGTCAGTGCAACGTCAGTTAGTTGCAGTCTGAAACTTCGCTGCTAGATGCCACTAAATCCTACACACTGGTCCTTTTTTAAAAAAATAACAAAAACAATTGACCAGAGTACCATTAAAGTATCCAATCGATAAGCATTATGGTAAGAGTAGTAGTACCCTTAAACTCTTAATGATACCCATCCCTGTCTAAGAGTGGTATCAATCTTCTCATCAAATCCTCATGAAGGAAGCAAATAAACATATTTCACAAAACATTGCTCTATTCATTAAATTGGCAGCACTACTGATCAGCACTCACTCGTTTTTAGTCATTTTCCTGCAAACATTCACTGGTTCTCTAAGTCTTCTATTATGGTAAACCAAATAATCTTTTCGTACAAGACATTTGAAAGAGTCAACCATTCGCTGACATTCTTTGGACAAAAAAAAATCATTAGTTGCAGATCTTTGTAGTTGACAGCAAAAGCATTGCTGAATCATTTTTTGAAAAAAAAAAAAAAAAAAAAAGATTCAGAATTTCGACAACTGATGAAAACGTCCAAACAAACATGACAACACAGAGTTCAGAGTGAAGTGGGTCTCTGCCCTCGCTGCCAACATGATTGCCTAAGGTATGCGAATGCACGTCGCCGCACAAAGCAGAAGAATATGCAAATGATTCAGGTGAAGCCTTTAAAAGTCCCCTCATGCACCGTCTTCCATATGCACGTCACTAGCATTGCTATAATTTGGTGCCTTTCCTTGTGTTAAAATCAAATTGGCAAGGCGTAATCGCAGAAGCAGACTGTGCTTGAATATCACAAAAACGCACATCACTGTACCGCTGCCGCCTCCTCGAGTTGTGTGTTTTACAGTCATAACGTCTAGGAAATCCAAATCATCAATAGTCCCTGGAGGAGGATCCCATTTGAGCGGTGAATTCACAGCTGTGATCTGAATGCCCTGTGACCCCCTTTCAGTGGTGAGATGGGACAACCCCTCCTCCCAGGTGACAGATTAATGAGGCTGCATGCCGGGATATAAACTGTATTGCTGACATCAGACGTTAACCTCTCTCATGTCAGAGCCCGAGCGGTCCTCGTATTCCTGAAGGCAATGACGCTAATAGCCGACTTGTCTGTCAATTACAGCTCACTACTGCGTCTCCGATGACAAGGACACAGCTGTCTTTTAGTGAGACGAGAGGAAATCAGCTCAATCATTTGGAAGCGATTCCTGTAACTCTGACGAAGTAAAATAGAATTACAGAACAATCATGTGTCGAGGGCAACTTTTTATCCTTGCTTGATATTGATATCCTGGTTTATTTTAAGTCGGCTCTTTCATATCTGCCTGCAGGATTTGAACAGAAAATATATTATTTACAAAATTGCCTTTCCCTAATGCTGCACGGATCAGAGCACGAGCACAAATAAGAAATCCTTGTACCCTGTGTGAACAAAGACGAGAACATAAGGCCACGACGGAGGTTATTTTCTTTTAAATTTAAACCTTTGGCATTAAAAATCTGCTTATATCTAATCTATTAAAGATCCTCATTAGAAATTCTCATGAATTTTTCATGCACATTTCTAATGGAGATCTGAATAATCATTAAAGGCCATTCATGATTTCCTAGTTTATGATGATAATTGGCATTTACAGCATTGGGCTATTTGGGCAGAGCTCTGGTACACGAGTATACAGATTTATATAATGATTACATGGTATTCAGCAGAACAGTGCATTAATGTAGAGTAAGCTGAATTTAATAATGGTGTCTAATAATAGCAAAGCACTTTTGTGTGTCTGTCCGTGTGTGGGCGCCTTCATTACGGTTGGCCACCAATATAACTACAGTACATAAAATATGGCAGAAAAGAGGATTAATACAATAATTCAATGTCTCTGACGTTGCTTTAATATATAATATATCTCTTTCCTCTAGAGCGGGATTTTTTTTTTTTTATACTTGAGCAAATACAATACGTATTGCACTGACACTGATCACTGAGTGACCAGACTTCAAGGTTAAAACACAAGTAGCCGTACAGGAACTTTGCCCAAAAACGATGAATCTGACCAGACATTCAATGCCAGCTTTTGGAGGACGACCAATTTCAATACTCAGTGTTAGACATATTTTGTTTGGTACCAAAACAGGTACTGAGTTCTGATACCTACTGTAGCTCTACCACCATGTACCCCGCCGTGTGATATTTAAGCGATTCTAGGTAATGCGGTTCCAACAGCTTTCCGCTCTGTGTGCGCACTGAAAAGAAATCTGGTGGTTGTTCAGCAGCACACACACCATACACACCATAGCTAATGTTACATTACTTGCTGTGTCATTGTTCACACTATACAATGGTACTGGATTTCTTTTATGCTTTGCTTATCTGCCTCAACAAAGTGGTAAAGCTGAAACGCCAACGTCATCCAGATAGAACAATTTGCTGCAATCTTCCAATTGTCTCACTTTAGTTTTAGTTTGAAGTGACATGATTCTCTGATGACACTTGTTGCACAATAGTTACATAAATGTTTTTCTATAGGTGGAGTTTCAAACCCTGACTGTTCAACAACGAGGGATAGAGGATGTTGAATGTTGCACAGATTATGAAGCCAGCTTTGTCACCAAATTGTTTGATTTGGTCTATATTAATAAAATTTAACTTGAACATGGCTGTTGAATAAAGCAAAAAAAAAAAAAAAAAAAGGTATACATAGAGATATAAAGCTAATAGATATTCCTTTAGAGAGAAACTTAACTTATTAAAGGGAGATGCATTCTTACTCTGAGGCGGGAGATGTCCAACAGTCCCTCGGGTGCCAGGACCCGGCTCCTGCAGCTCTAGCTCCATGTAGTTGAGTTGCTTTTTGGATGTGGGGCTAACAGGAATATTCACATATGTCACACCTTCGCTGCGAGGCCGTTCAGGAAGCGGTGCCTCTGAGGGGAAAACGAACACTGCACCTATCAATACAAGATGAACAAAGTGTTAAGTGACAATTCAGCCTGATAGCTTGTACTGTATCTCCATGCCAAATAGCTCCACTGTCATCCCAAAAACATTTCAAACGCATAAAAGACCCATGCAGTTGCATTTGGACTATTTGTACAAATGCAGCCAGTTATTTCTTGGGATTTGGTTCAATTTTTCTGTATTCATTGTAATAAAAAAAAGAAAACTCTCTTTAATGCAACAGTATGGCTCTTTTATGTGTTTCTAATAGTTATTGGACAACAGTGGAGCTCTGTTGCACAGAGGAATAAGCTCTACCAGGCTGTGGCTATGCAGACAATACACAGTGGGATAAATTCATTGTTGGTTTTCATCTTTTCATGGGATTTTCTGATAATATTGAAAAGATAAAATAGCACCAGGCTTACTGTGACACTAGTTTGAAACAGGAATTGTTTTTGTCACTATGACCTTAATTAAAAGATAATGATGAAGAAATCAAGGATTAGTCTGGTGTTATTTTAACACTTTGTCATTATAACCTTAATCAAAAGCAAAAAGATTTCCCCCTCCAGGGTTAGTAACTCTTGAGGCGACGGTCCTTATCGACAACCTAATGTTAATTAGATTCATTCAAATACAGACATCTACAATAAAGTGACAATATTATTTTCAACAGTAAAGCACAGCAGCAAATCATGGGATCCGCAGCTACACTGGCACAAAGTGTATTCCAATGAATAGCCCTTTCCCCCCAGAGGCTACTTATGTATGATTAGCAGATAGGCCCTAGAGATAAATTATGAGATACATTATGGCCATTTTGTGTCACGAGGCAGTAAAACTCTAACTTGCTGCCCTTTTAATTCCATCATCAGAGCTCTGTTTCCAGTAACCAGTTCCTTGAACAATGTCAAAACATTCTGGTGTGTTTACTGACCCAAAATGCATGTTTTTCCTTTGAAAAATTCAACGACAATTTGATAGTTATCTTTAAAGTAAAACCCAAACAGGAGCCCCACATATTGGCGAAATAAGTTTGTAGCGTGATATTTTTTTTACTGTAAATCAGATTTTATCCAATATTATTAAAAGCACAACTGTAAATAATGCAAAATTCAGATAAGCAGATTCATTTTTCCAGTATTTGCAGCACCAACAGAGGCACGCATCATTGGCAGATTTCTCTATTTAACATGACTAAACCACTGTTAAAAAGAAAATGCATTTTGCCCAATTTGTCGAAATGTACTAAAAAATAAACCTTTTTAATGGCAACCTGACTACCATTTAACTTTGAACTTGTGCTAAACACGAGCAATGTTGTTTTCTGGGTAAAAACAGCAATGCTTCAAGAATCTGCTCAAACAGTGCAGTCAGCAGAAAAAATGTGTCAAGTAAAACTAACAGGAAATGTCGCCTCAATCCATTTCAACTGAATAGCTTTTCCTGTCAAATACACAAATTATAGCCACAGTGTTGCCCAGAGTGCGTTGTCTGTGTAATTTATTGTGCTTCATAAATGGTTTACCTGTCATAAACATAAAAGCCACCCTGGATAAAGAGGTGCAGAGTCAAGTTCATTGCTGGCTGGTGGAAAGCTGTTTAGCTCAATGTCTTATTGACACAGGTTCCAACCAACTGCATAAAATATGTGCATTTTTCAGCTCTGTGACACGCATCATCCAGTGCTTTTATTTTTCATGCCTGTATCTACAATGCCAGCAAAGATAGCTACAACCTTCAAAAACAGAGGGAGAGTACACTCAAGGATATCTTAGAAATTTGCATAACTTGAATACATCTGTTCTCCCCTGCGAATAGAAACTAGGAAAACTAAGATGTACTCATTATTTCTGAACAGTGATATAAACATTTGTTATTGATTTTACCTGTGTGCAAACACAAGTGAAAGAGAAGAAAGCCAGATAAACAGATTACTGAGTTTTAAGGTCAACCTACAACCGCACTGTTTAGAGGAATCATGCATTCATGTTGGCTGCCTCACACCAGCCCAGTGTTCAAGTTAGACCTAATCAGGAATCAAATGTTAAAATGTCCAAAAATTAACGTAAAGGAAACACAGAAATGTAAAAAAAATAAAACGTCCAAACACACACTTAACCGTACAAAAAACGGAAACACAGAAACGTTTATATACACACACACACACACACACACACACACACACACACACACACACACACACACACACACACACACACACACTTTATGTGGCACTTGGACAGATAACATAATTACATTGGACTTAACACACAGTGTATTTATTCCACTAGTTTAGTCTATAAAATGTTTCAACTAGAATTACAGCCCTGCATTCGTATGCCTCCACCAACCAGCCAAGTTGTAATTTACATCCACGTCTCATAATATATGTAGTGTACTGTATATGAAGAAGGAAAGCAGCAAATCCTGATATTTTGGCATTTTTTGTTTGATAAATTAATTAAATGATAAATTGATTATGAAACAGTTGCAGCTTAATTAGTTACTGATTAATTTTCTAATTAATCAACTAATCGTTTCAGCTCTACTCTAATCCAGCTCTAATCCAAACCCTCCTCTCCACTGTGAGGGGTGTGAGTGCTTATGTAATTCATGTCAAGCAGTGTACATCAGCAAAAACTATTACTCATTAACTGACGCAATAATTTAATAAACAGTGTTCAGGTTCTATAAACAGTGCTGATCTGTGACTGTAAGAATCTGTTTACCCTCCTTTATGCCAATTACTGCAAGACTACTGTTGTTTGAAGATTAAAGAGAATATCTAGATCACAGAAAACAGACTACAAACTACAGTTGTTAGACAATCCCAACAGCAGTCGTAGCACAACAGACCCACATTTCAGCTGCCGATATTTACTGCTAGAAACACAAATGGGGATCTCTCTAGAAGACTACAGTTATTATACATCTTTAACAGTAAATAAGAATAATACACGTATTCCTGAAAGCACATGCACTGTCTTGTGTCAATCATATGAACTTTGAAATGCTGCATAAAATACATTATTTTAGTGACTGTAAAGATGGTCATGGGTTCATATGTGTTGCTACAGCTGTTTTGTAATTACACTAAATTTTGTTCAGAGGCTGGGTAATATGTAACATTTGGGGACAACATAAATTTCACCTGCTATTGACTCTTCCTAAATGGCAGCGTGCGGCGGCCATTACCCGCAGCTCAGAAGCATCAACCCCAGGGGACACTCATACAATCAGCGTGTAGCCATTAGACGCCGGCAGAGTCTCAGTGGGTGCAGCCTTTGGCAACATCTAAGAGGTCTGATGCCGAATTGATCAGACACCAAGCAGCCCTGGCAGTAGTGTAGTGTTTTATAATGGCTGCCATTACAACAGTGGGTTTACCCACAGCTTTAAGGCTGAGAGACTTTTCCCACAATACACTTTGTGGAACCTCTAGGGACGACGTAAGAATACCTGGCTGAGCTTAGTGACCCGAACCTTCAAAATCAACTGCTTTTGTGGGAAAACGTGGGTCTAATGACAGGCCTCTCACCCTGAAGACACAGCTGTTAGTTTAGTTTAAGGCAGACATTAAGGCGGAGGTGAAAATGTGTCTGACTGAACCCAAAGGAGTTATGACTCAAAATGCCAGCATTTGAGAGAGCTATTGCTAGTCCAAAATTGATGCTACATACTGTAAAGACAATAATATTACTATCAATAAAGAAACCTCTTGTCAAAAACCAATAACAAATGCCAAAATTGTTCTCAGTTATACCTGCCAACAAGGACAACACAATCCCTTCCAAGGCTGTACCAGACTCAGAATTGTGAATCCAATTTGGCTATTCAATACAAAGATCTGACTATTTGTTCCTTTTTTTCTTGTTCAGCGCCACACTAAACTCCTCTATCAGCCGCCCTACGGTGGAAATGCAGCTACATGAGTCAGATACATTGTAAGTGCCAAACATTTTTGAATAAGTCGTAACTGTGGTAGTGCTCTGTTGTATTGCAGATTTTTTTTTTGAAAAGCTGAAATATGGTGCGGACTTATTGTGTGGGAGTTTATGTCTGCTTGCATTTGTTCATTTCTAAATTCACTGATATTGTACAGTCTTCCTGCATAGATTACCACCAACATTTTATTAGACCCACTTTGCTCAGAGTGAAGAACCTGCAAGATGGCTGTGATTGCGCAGTGCAAATGGGGCCTCAAGACTAGTTGTGCTACAGGTAAATATCCCACCAGAAACCTTAATGCTTGCACAGAAAGCCTGAACAGATGTCTCAATACGGAACCAAAAGAAGTCAATAAAAGCAGTCGTAGCTGCTAACTGCACTGTTTTAAGAAATCAGGAGGATTAAACCAACATCGTATGAAAATCGTGTTCTCATTTCAGGCGAGCCTGCATCCTCAAACCTTAATCTGAGCCACTGGACTTGGCCACCTCCTGCACGTCCCCGTCCATTAACTGCTTGCTGAGGCAGGCTGATGGGAAAGATGACATCGGAGCCGAGCCAAGTGTGTGTGGGTACATGAACATGACTGATGGGTGCGGTGCCACACTGTGACAGCTGCTGGGAATTTCTAGAGCAGGTGTGCACTAGACTGAGGGCATGTTTCTGGGTGTGGGATGCTTAAGTGGCCAAACGTCCCCTGACAACTGTCCCCTCACCTCACATCAGGGCAGGTAACCTGTCACGCATCACCGCATTCTCTGTTTGGTTACATATCTGTTTTCTCTTGACACAATTGGTTCTTATGCAATCCAGTTTATAGCGTTACATAAAGTGCAGATGAAGACGTACATGTTCGCACAACAGTGAGCCCTCCACTACACAATGAAAAGGAGAGGTTGCTGGAGTCCTTTATTCTAAATGACGTTCATGAGACACAAATTATGCGTGTGACTCATGCCTGTATTTGTTTTACAGGCTTGTATGTGATTCATCTCTGACATCACATCACAGATCACATAAATTAACGTTTTTTTTTTTACAGACGCCTATTTAGCCTGTCATGTTCTATCATTACATTCAAGCCACAGACCTATGATTCTGTTTTTCAGATTTTTCCTGGGACCAATTTCTATTTTTAGGAAATCGAGATTTTCAGTGTCATGGCTGAATATTTAGCTGATTTCCACAATGTGGATGAGGCCCTTGAATTCGATGGCCGCATGTTTTTATTTGAGCCAGAGTATACGGATGAGACTACAAATTAAAGAACAGACACGAAGAGAGAGAGGGGTGACAGGCAGAAGAGGGAGAAGCAGCTGCTGCAAGGCAGCGAAGCTTGGGAGACTGGTGGTGTTCCTGTGGATGCTTTGAACCTATGCCCACAGAGGAGATTTCACAGACTGGATCAAGTGAAAGGTACAAACATCTATGGTGTCAGACACTTACAACAATCTGAGCCATTCAGCAGCAAAAACAAGCGCTTGTACTTGTTAATTTCGACAGTACGCAATTGCCTGCAAGGAACCTGTTTCGTGACACCTGCCACAAAAACATGGTAAAGTAAGGTAGAAAAATACCAAAGTTACCCGTACAGTAAATGTACTTAGTAAGTTCAAACTTAGCCAGTGGTGGGATGCAACTAAGAGCTGATGCAGCTGGTTCTAGATATTATGAGTCTGTATGTATGCAGTGTATGTATTCACATGCTATTTACTGGTAAAGGTACTTAATGAAAACAACTTCCCGTCAACGTCACAGTCCATTAACCTAGATGAAGACAAGTAAACATTATGTGTGTGGCGTACGTGTCGGTTCCGAAAATCACTCTCGTGGCTGTCAATGCCACGTGCCAGTCTACTATTTCAGACACTGAATGAGCCTAATTTTATTTATTTATTCACTTCAATTCATGCACATCGAGCAGCAGGTGAATTGTTGTAGTTATGTTGATTCAGGTGCATGACTCACCTATTTAATTCACTTTTTGTAAGTGGGTTCTGGTTATTATAAGAAGCCTGGGTAATGCACTGCTGAAAACGTTCAGAGCACTCAAAAAGAAAATCTAAAAAGGTCCACAGAGCAAAAAAAAGAAAAGAAAATCCATTTGTGCAGGTACAGACCCAACAATCTGCATCTGTTTAACTGGCTTGGTTGATAAAAAAAAACAACTTGGTTATATTCATTATGTGATGTTGTGATGTCAACCTCACTCACCTTCAGTCTCTTGAAGGAACCTCTGCTGACCATAGCTGCCCATTAGCTCGTACTTGCTCTTTTCTTCGGCCTGCGAGACAAACAGACAGTGAGCAACTGTTGATTATTATTTGCAGTGAGCGACTCGATCCAGCACAAGTTTATTACATAAGAAATGTGACGATGCCTTTCTCCTCAACAGCTCGGTGGACACATCAGGAGTATTTATAGACAGAGGCTGATATTCAGTATTTACTGAGAGCTCCGGGCTATGTCTTACACGTGGAAACACTGTCTGCAATGCCTCATCGTTATGGAAGGGATAACCATGCCTTTTAGATTGCTGCCACATAATCTCTGATTCCAGACAGCCACTGTAAGCACAGCTATTGTGGTGTGAAAATTGGTGGTGGAGTGCAGCCATATTGCTTTCAGTCTCACTGAGAGGCCACAGTGCACACAAAGACGGATTCCTTGATGGGACCATTATCATGCCGAGAATGAATGAGGCTAGTACATAAAGGTGGATATATGTGAGATAATGGACATCAGCTGATTGTATTGGTGCATTTCCCAGCAGCTGGACACTTGAGGGGATAACTTCAAGTATTGTTTTTTTAATCATCATGTTGCATGACAGGGCACTCCAGGGGTCACATTCAGTAGCATCAAGCAATGTGATGTAAGACTGGAAAATATTTTCTTCATAACAGAATGTTCATCCATAAGTTGGATCAGGAGATCGATACCACTCTCATGTCTGTGTGGAGCTAGATCCAGAAGGTGATTAGCTTATCTTAGCATAGCATAGCATGAAAACTGGAAACTGCTAGCCTGGCTACCACAGTGTTTCCTCTATGTTGATTTTGGAGCGGCGGCCCAATGATCCTGCCGAAATAATGCACCCCCGTTGGCTGCCGCTCACATTGCAATGAGTGCAAAGTGATCGGACGGGCCTGCTCCCACTGCTAAAAAAAATCCTAGAGGAAACACTGTACCAATTTTCTGTTAACATGTTGAATCTTGTTTGTTTAAGTTGAGATAAACAGTAATATAAAAACGTTAATTTTGTTGCTTTAAAGGGAGTTACATGCTGTAACTATTTCTTGATGAACCAGTTTATTAATCTACTTTCATGCAGCGTCACCTCACAGTGAAGTGTCAGAGAAGTCACTGCGCCCGGCTGTTAGTCGCTCATGCCTGACAGTCACAGCAGGTAACTCTCTCTGAAACCACAAATTCTCATTTTTACATTCCCATTCGCATACAAATGAAACAATGAAGATATACTGTATTAATTGAGTCTTCAGAAACGCTGGTATGCATATTTTAAAGTCTGCAGAGAGCCCACCAGCCGTTTCCCCCTGCTTCTTGCCTTTATGCTACGCTAGGCTTATTGACTCCTGGATCTAGCTCTGGTCGTAACCCACAGACATATTCCCAAAATATCTAATTAGTAGTCCTATAAAAACAGAGAATAACTTCAACAACCAAAATATTAAAGCCCGTGTTCCTGTCCAAAACCTGCCAAAGCAAGAAGGAAATATCACAGGTTTCATTCATATCAGGTAAATATGTCATTTAATCGTGATAATATAACGCCAACATAATAATATAACACCATAAAGTTGAATAATGGCAACAGAGTACTTCTGAGGTCATATTATTCAACCCTAGTGTACTGCGGCTTGACTTTTCTTCCTGTTGGCTGAACAAACACCTCTGACATGTCTCGTCACACCCCCACATTAAAGTCTAAAAAGCGTAAGGTTATGCTTAAGAGCACTGCATATACATTAAGTACAGTACTGTAATCATTACATCACACAGACTGAGAACATTATAGACAATCCCGACTTTCTCAACCTCTTATTTCAACTAAAAGGGAAAGAAGTTCAAAACAACAAAATGCTGATTGAACATTTTATGTTCAATTTCAGATATTACCCCAGCCTTTTTTAAAAACTGACCTATCAGCTGCTATTCATTCTTTATAATCCCCATCAAATAGGTATTCCCATATCATCAGTCATTTCCCTAAAAATGTTTAGCTGAACTCAGAGCACAATGAGTTACACAGTCAAAATGTGTGAGCAGTTGATAGCATAAAGCGGATTAGAGAGTTTTGGATTGGCCTACCTCTGAGTTCCTCTCCGGCGCCCGGCTCTCCATGATCTCATAAGCAGGATCAGCTCTGCGTCTTTCCTCTTTACTATTAAGCCTTTTGTCTGGCAGGAGAGAAAAATATAGTGTTTTAAATATAAGAAACTAAACTGCAACTTTTTTTTGTGCCAATAGCCAGGGCAGAAAATAATCCCTCATTGTGTTTTCTTAAATCCAGTTTGTGAATCAAAGCAGACAAGGACCTCTCTGGGTATGAATGCATCAATTCCTGCAGATCCAGCGATGTGAACAAATAACATTGGATTGATTCATCATTTCACAATACCAAAAACTATTATACAAGTGGAAATAAGCTGTATTAATAATATGACGTGCAAGGGACAGACATCACAATCTGCATGCAAGAGGTTCAACGTGCAGCAGACATATTAATGTGATTTACTAACATTTAAACACTAACATAACACTGTTATCACTAATACTTTATCACTTTTATGATGTAGAAAGCCTTTATATGGTAACCTGACTGATACATCAGCACTGATATAATGGTACGACTAGGAGTGGATTTTTAAGGTCAATGCAATTTCTTGTTACTTTTTGGTCAACATTTATCTGCATTGTATATCAGCTCAGCAGATTTATTGCTCCGACTCTGATTGGCATATACACTCAGTTTTCAGTTTATTAGGTATATCTAGCTGAAACTAATTCAGTCTAATACAACAGTCTTGCAATAAATCCTTCCTTCTTGAAGGTTGTAATGTTCAGTTTTTGCTCAAACTGTTTTGGAGAGGTGGTAATTCAACTGTATGGAGGCTGTAGATTGTTGTGCTGTTGAACTGTATTGCTTTATACAGAGAGCTCTTTCTATTATTCACCTTCGCTCGGGGTGGACAAAATAAGACACCCATCAATATAAAGCAATGCAGGACTATTAAACTGCATTCGTTTCATCCAGGTGTACCTAATGACTGGCACCTGAGTGTATATCATCTAAAAAGTAACAAGACATTTCAGAAGAGAAATATTAAAGATAAGATTCTGTAGGTTTGAGATACTTCACATTGTCGCTATTACATAGTTTGTCCACAAGAGAGTGCTGTTTATTTTTCACAAGTTATCAGAAATATTTTATCTTGAAGAACATAATAAAACGATTTTGCGCCATTTTCCAATAAGGCACTCTTTATAAAGGGTTTATTAGTTTTAACTGAACGAAAATAAATAATACACTAATGCTTAATAGCTCAGTTATAAGCCATTAATTAATTAACAGGTTTTGTGTTGGTACGCTGAGAAACAATCTTTTGGTTGGGGTTTTCTATTTGGTAATAATGCTGTTATAAATGTGGGTTATTAATCAATACATTTTGAATAGGTTGTTCGTAAATGCCATTTTCCAAAATGTAACCATATGGCTATGTTGGTCAAGGACATTTATCACAACCAGGCAACACAAAGGCTGGCTTATAACTCATTTAGAAGGCATTATTAAAGGATTTATTAAGCTTAATAAAGACAGTTACAACTTATAAACCCATTATTACAGGGGCCTTATTTGAACAGTGGTACTGATTCTCTAGTAGTCTATCAATCTTTTCAGATTTTCTCTCTTATTCCCTTCTACTTTCCACAGCCCTCAGAAAGCTCAGTACAAGCTACACAACAAAAAGAAACATCACAGAGTGCAGAAAGAAAACAAGCAGTTGATTAAAAAAAAGAAGCCAGGAGGAAAGTGTGTTTTTTTTTTATTGATGATAAAGAGAACAACAGGGCAGAAACAAAGAGGATACATTTTAAAGGAGTGAAGAGGAAAAGGACACCAAAGGCAGCGTAGAAGCTTTGAAGAGGCCTCTTACCTTCACTGGTCACTGTCCGACCATTCATCTCTTCATACCGATACTGCCCGGCCACACTCCGTGATCCATCACTGTCAGCTTGATAGAGCAGTCCCTTATTAGCAGCAACTTCATGTTCTTGGCTGTTCTTCAGGCGCAGCCCAATAGGAAAGGGTTGGAAAGTGGAAATGTTACTGCTGAGGTACATTGCAGCGGGTGCGGCCCGTGGAGGAGGGTGGCAGTGCTCTCCTTGACACTTGAGACAGTTTTCATAAATGACAGCGCTTCTATCTTGCTGTGGATCTTGTGGTGGTACACAGGTGCCAGCTGGTGCAGATTTGAGCTCATTTCCAAATCTAGGACTCATTGACTCATACAAGTTCAGTCTGTTAGTCTTTGCCTCTGGCTGCCTATCTGTGTTTGGAAATCCTAACAGATCAGCTAAGAGACTGGCTAATTTCTCTCTTCCTTTTCTTGGCAGCGGTAAATCCTCACTCGTCCTCACTATTGGCTTCACTTCGCTGAGGATGCTTCCAGATCCAGGGAAGGCGCAGGATTTCTCCAGAATTTTCTTCACTGCAATATTGTATTCATTGGCAGTGCTGAGGCTGCATGGTGATTTGTCAACACTTTGATCTGCTGGATTGAAAATATGATGTTCTGCAGGCAAACAACCCTTCAACACACTTTGATTTCTGTCCGAGATCAAATCAGTAAGCTGTGGCTGCAAACCATGAATTCTTTCTCTTCGACACGCACATTAACTTCTCATGCAAGCAGGAATCCATGCAGTGTGCATACAATATTTCAACTGATTACACTTACCTGGTATGGCAGGTATCACTGAACCACTACCATGGATGTACGGTGTTCCCTGTGAGAGACATAGAACATTATACACAAACTGCCTTTATTAGATTATGTTTGTGTGAACTATAAATGAACAAACATCTTGGCCTGGTGTTTAAATATGAGGCATTTTAAAAGGAAAATATTGGTAATTTTATATATATATATATATATATATATATATATATATATATATATATATATATATATATATTTTTTTTTTTTTTTTTTTTTTTTTTTTGTCATGTGTCATGAAAAGTACAGTGCATTAATCCATCTCTCAGTACTTCCTGGCTTCCACAGCCTGTCAGCACAAGCTCATTTGTTCGCACTAAAGTTGTAAATCTGGCAAAATGGGTCACAAATAACATTTTAAAAAGGCTGTGTATTTTCCTGGTCACTAGTTTAAAACAAAGGTTACTCAAACAGGAGTGAATAATGCATTTGTTGTCTATTTTCAGCTGCAGATTAGGTACTCTAGTGAGTATTTAAAGCAGCAGGACAGTATAGTATGTGGGATCAACTCAAAATAAACTACAGTAGACATGTTCATGGTAATGAAGGAACATGTCACCCAGTGCAGCGAAGTGGCTCGTTTAGACATATTTGATAGTTTATGGACAACAAGGGAGCTTTCTTGGTTTTTGGTCTTTTCGTGGGATTTGTTGAAAATAACACATGTACAATGTCTCCTGCTTTATCCTCCAAAAACTCACCCCAGTGGAATGTTTCAGTTTCAAAGCTGTGAGGTGTCTGAAAGTCATGTTGCTGACTGCATCCATCACACAGAGCATATTCCACACTTTGATTTTTCTTGTAGATTTACTACCCACACTCCCCCTCTTCCCAAACCAGCCAGACTGTGTGATTGCATTCACGCTATTAATTATGCTAAAATGATCTCCATGCATAAATATATTCCAAAATGTGAAATGACATTTGTATTACGGTTTCGTTATGGTTTAATGTTTTCTTTTGAACTAGACCTTTAACTGTGAGCCAATAAACACTACAGGGGTGGATTGTGTTGCTCACGCTGAGGGTGATAAATGCCCTCCCACACTGCTCCTGCCTGATCCATCAACTTCTAGCCAATAACTCTCATGTTTAATTGAGTTCCCTGAAGAGTGACTGAAATGAGAAAGAATATTTTATTCAGGTAATCAAATGCAATTTGCATTCTTAACTAAATGCACTACCAGCAGGTGGAGCTATATGTTTAGAGTATTCAATAAATTTGACTGTTATGCACAAAAAAGCTTTTAGTTGGAACCTTTAAAGAAATTTAAATTATAGCTCAAGCAAAGCCTTAAAGAGTGGAGCCCTTACATTTGTAATGCAACAACGATATTTGATAATGTACTGCAGATTTCTACTGAAAATCATCACAGATACGAAGAACATCCACAAGTGTAAAACTAGTATAAATTATGTAACACTATCACAGCCATGGCAGGATTGATCTCAAATACAGATTTATCCTCAAATCCAACATTTCTTTCTTCACTTACAGCAATTTATCAAGCAGAAGTAGAAGAGGAAACAATTAGTCAATTAATGGAACAGTTGTTTATCAGAAACTGCAACTATTTTAACACAAATGTGAACACTTTCTTCTTCTTCTTCTTCTTCTTCAATCACCACCAACTCCATGACCACCAATCTAAGCAGAAAAGCCCCTCGGAGACAACTGAACCTCATAGTTCATATAAAGAAGAACAACTTGTGTATAAAACAAATAAACTGGGATTACATTCAGTTTGGAGTTTACATATACTTCTAAAAAAAAAAAAGACAGCAGTCCCTTAAGCTCAACAGTATTAAGTTCAGCAATAAATAGGCGAAAAACTGCAAGTCACTCACAACTCCCAAGGTCTGAATCTGCTGGATACAACAACAGTGTCAAACTCAATTGGCTGCTGAAATGCTAACTTGTTACACAGATGGGCCGTGGCACTGTTTGTTGTTGTGACACCAAATGCAGGGCAGCATCACCGGCAGCCTGCACGATACCACAAAGGTCATATTGACAGCGTGCTACAGAACAGATGATAGAGTGATGATAAGGCCTGTTCACACAAGCTGCTACTGTATGACAGGGAGTTATACAACAGAGCACGTTCAGGACAAAACTGAACGGGGAAGATGCCTTTATTTTTCAGGGTTCGAGGCAAGCAGATGGCCAACAAGAATAGAACTACACCTGAGTCTGAGCTTAACTCAAAGTCTGTTTCTGGCAGAAAGGGTAAAAAGGGACAAAACATTTTTCATAACAAGATTTTAGTTGGCACAGAAAGATTTTTCTACTCACCTTAAATCCACCACACACTGAGCAGATGGTCACGATGGTTTTGGAGACAGACGTGAGAGAGCTGCAGATGTGACAGGAGTCTGGATGCTCACTAGAGGGCGCCACCTTTTTCTTACTCTCCTCTGAGGGGTCTGGTATGTGTTCACTTATTGACCGTCTTTTAGTAGTTTCGGCGTGACCCTCACAGGTCACTGTGCTGCTTTTATCTCCCTTTTCTGAGTCTGTTGTGAGGCCTGAAGGCGCAGGAGTGTCCTGAGTTGGGGTGCTGGATTCATTGTCTTTGGCACCCGCACCTCCCTCCTGTAACAGATTCCTGGGAGAGTCATAGAGATACCGAAGTGATGTTGGTACCTGGTATTCATGTCCAGGGACAGTGAGGCAAGTACAGGGACTCAGGTCTTGTGCCAAGTGGGGAGGCAAGCTGAAAACAGACCCAAAGTCCTCCCAGGGGGTGATATCCAGGCTGCCTGTGTAGGAGGAGAAACTTCCAGAGTAAGAGGAATGGCTGCCGGTGGCGATGCCGCTGTCAGATGAGCTCTGGCGGCCGATCTCCTGAAGCTGGCGGGGCAGCTTGGCAGCGGGCCGGTTCCCACCTCCCTGGTTGACAGACAGCTTCTCGATGCTCTGCAACGCCGCTTTGGCGACCACGTGGCCGACGTTTTCGGATGGGTTGGAGGCCGGTTCGGTCCAAATGGCCAGCCGGCTGCCAATGCTGCAGTCCGATTGGCTGGTGTCTGAAGTGTCGGAGGAACCGGATATGCTGCGGTCGTCTCCCCCAGCTGACGGGCAGTACGAGGACGAGGCTGCCAAGAAGACAACATTAAAAGTTTTATTAATCAACAGCTTTAATGAAAAAAAATGCTTTCATCAATAAAGCTTTATTAAAGCATTATAATATCATTATGGTTGTTTTTCCTCAGCCACCTTTCTCCCCGATATCCACTACATAATAATAGGAACAATAAATCACCAGTGTGAATAATGTCAAAACTTAATTTAAATCCAAGAACAGCATTATTAAAAGCCAATGTATCATTTATGCTCTTTGGTGAGGAAGAGGGATCCCTGCAGTAAAACTTTCAGCTATAGTTTCAACTTATTTTTTACTTTGAATCACAACACAACAGCTTTAACATGACCTACCTGTGCTGCTCCTGTGAGAGAGCATGCTCAGTCGTTTCTCCAGCTCCTGGGCCTCGTGGTTCAGCCTCTCCTCCGAATTCGCCTGACTGGCACTGGGGTCTGTTTGAGAGAGTACGCACAAAACAAACAACGACAAGGTTACGTTAGTGAGTTTCGCTACTGAGACGTGGGATCAAATGTGATGCAGCGGAGCATTTTGTGCTGCGGTGACACGGACACAGCTGTGAAAACACATCCAAGCTACTCCAGAGAAACAAGAAGGGACACTTTAAACCACGAGGGTCTCACTTGTCTTTCTGTGGCATCATGAAAATAACAGCTAACAAGATGTTAGGGAAAATAATACCAACAAATACTCTGGCAGGAGTGCTGTGTACTATTATTTGGTCATAGGCCTTTGGACGAGCACAGAAAAGGGTCACCCAGGGGAACACCTTGCAGTATTTGTGCAACACTACAGGGTTTATTAATAGCGCTGCCACGTGGCTCTGTTGGTACGCGCGTTGCTGCTGGTGGCTAAAGATTGTTGGTGCTGTTCAAGGATCCAATGTACCTTGGACAATTCAAGGTCAGCTCTAACACTGGATCGATTGTCTTTTATCTATCCAAGCCTGCAACAGTAATGTGGTAAATGTACCAGAACTCTGCAAACGGTTCAGATCACATCCTACACGTTGAGTATCGACTTACAGTACACAACAGTTCTCAACTTAGAAAAGGATAGACTAGATAAACTCATAAAAAAGGCGTATGTTGATTAAATTAACTCTAACTGGAAGACAAAAAGCTGTATGTGCTACTGGTATTTACTTATACCAACTTCAAGAGGCATATTCCTGAATTCATAAATGTATCTGACCCCCTACTGCAGTCTAGTGTAGACAAAATAAAATTATATTCACATTTTTTAAGCTTAAGGTCTAAACTGAAAACTTTAGAGCAAAGATCCCAAATGTTTGTACAAACATTTAAATGTTATATTCATACAGTTTTATGTTGATTATAAATCTCTTTTGAACTTGTATCTCAAACTAGAAGACTAAAGCTCTTTGCCCTATTGTTGTGTACCAAAAAGCACATCATACAAGCATCACGAGAAACTGATTTCCTGGGTTCCCTGCTGAAAAATAGATGTGCACGATCCAACTCAAGAATCCAAAGAGACATAGCTTGGTATTTTGAGGACATTTATCATTTTTGAAATGGACTCACATTATACTTTGTAAATTGTAGCCAGAACATTCTCATTTTCTAATTATAACTAGATATTCTTTTTAATGACGAAAACATTCTTTCTCCTTAATGACAAAAAATTTGTAAACGTTTTTTAACAATGCCGGTTCTGAACTGCTGTAGTCTCTGTGTAGCATGTAAATTAAGTGTACAGAGTGTATCAGCAGTTTAAACAACACAAACTGATAGAAAGGGTTTTGTACCTCCTCTGTCAACAGTTACAAGCTTTGAAAAAATTAAAGTTTACTACATCATCTCCGCTGCCTGCTGCTGTGTGCTTTTAAGCTCAGAGATTCAACATCATACCTGCCACCTCATATTCCATCTGCACTTTATTTAAGCAGGTTTCCCTGCCAATGCTGCTATGTAACAAGCGGCATGACAGCACGACCAAATGGAGCACCGCCAAAGAGATCAGAAAGGAGTGTGTCTTGGGTAATATCTGCTTGACTAACAGGTGTCGCAGCCTATCACACGCTGTATTTTTGCAGCTTGCTCATCCCAGCTAAGCTCCACTAACGCCTCCTCCCCTCTGACAGCTACAGTAGCCAGAAAATCCTAATTTGGTCAAAGACAACAGTGATCTGTGAACAGGCTTTAAAAAAATGTGTCCACACTACATTTCATCATGCCTCTCATTAGGGGATAAGGAATAAAAATAAATTTCAGCAGCACATATTGCACTCAACAATAGTCTGTTATACAGAACCATAAAATATTGTAATAACCATACAGTCCAAGTTTATATAAGTCACATTTTTAAGGAATAGTTGTAGTATTCTGGGGAATAAAGATACAGCTGGTTAGCTTAGCATAGCATAAAGACTGGAAACATGGTGAAACAGGTAGCATAGCTCCGTCCGAAGCAAAGGAAACCCACCTAACATGTTAAATCATGTTTGTTTAATCCGTACAAATCCTAAGGATAAAACAACAGCTGGTTCCAGCTACATATTTAGGGTAGATGAATGAGAGTGGTATTAATCTTCTCACATAACTCTCAGCAATAAAGCGAATGAGCGTAAAACTTTTCCTAACCAGATTAATTCTAAGTGTGATTTTTCATACGTAGCTAAGGCCAGGTAAATCTAACTAACTCGTCAGCTACATTTTCAACTTCATCTTCATCTTCAAGCAGCTATTGTAATCTCCATTCCCTATACTGTCATCCACAGGGCGGCTTCATCATTTGTCTGCAGTTTTTCTAGATGAATGTTCTAATGTAAGTTTAAAATGCGCCCCGCGGAATAAAGCATGTATCCTGGAAACTAAACAGAAAGCAGGAGAGTTAAAGGCAGAGAGAGGTGGAAACGGTGCAGTATGTAAGGGTGACAAAGAGATAAGTGAGTCTGGGAACATAACAGCAATTAATCAACATAAAGGGTGGAGACATTCAGTCAGGAGCTGTGTAGGACAGAGAGGACTGAGAGGTGAACCACAAGTGAGAACAAGAGCCACAATTAGGGGGCTGAAAAGAGGAATAAGAATATAAAATGAGAGGGAGTGGAGGGGAGAGTGGAGGGGTGGGTGGCCGCGTATGAAATGAAACGGGGGGGGAGGCAGCAGTGGAATCCTGTGGATGAGGTTACATACATGCCCGGAGTGATTAGGAGGCTTTGGCTGCTCTACTTGTGTGAACTGTGACTTTGACCCCTTGCTCTCCCTCTGACATCCTCCCTGCTATTTATTCTACTACGGACCACAATAATAGGAGTATGAGCTCAACCTGTGATTGGGCGGCGAGATGTGTGAAAACCAGAATATCTACAAGCCCCCACAGCTGCCCGGTCCACATTTCCTGTTAAGTTGCACGCTGGGTGAGAAAATGTTTTAAAACTGCTAGAGTGGAAAATTGAAGGTGTTGAAAGTGGACAGCAGGAGAGCAGAGAACAGCTTTATTAATATTAGATCTAGCTAAATGTTATTAAAATAACCTAAATAGGAGAAATCACATTCTTTGTATGAAAGACCATTTCTACTATTTTTATTTTTTGGATGATATGTTTATAATGGAAAGAGTGACAGGAAAGATTAATAAAAAAATAAGAAAACATAACTTCTGTAGATAGTTCATTGTTCCAGCATTTCTTTGTCCATGTACAAACAGTTAATTTTAAATTTAAACCTGCAATTATTTATTTTTGGCCACTTGAGGGCAGCAGAAAGATGCTCTAAACACAACTCTGACATATTATCGCCTTAAAGCAACATAATTATTGATGTAGTCATGTTTGTGTCCACATATATATATATATATATATATTCACTCTCCTTTTAGCAGTTTTTGTTTCCACCAACTTCTGAGGGGAATATCTGTGTTTACCAGCTGGCCGCTAACTGTGCCTGTCTGTAGTTTGGTGCTGAGCAAGTGGTGTACAGTGGGGTTATCACTGTTTAACTGAAAACCAAAAACTGCATGTTATGACAATGCTTAATCTCTCCATAGAGCTGAGGGGAGCTGCTCTCAGAGTTTGTCACTACGTTTAATCTCTTTCACATTGTGTCATTGTCATTGTTAGCTTTAAGAGCTGGGATAATCTGAACGTTTGGGAGTTTTCTTAACTATTTGATTAATTGGTTTGAATATAAACAGGAAACTGTGACTCGAACATCTTCAAATTGCTTGTTTTGTCCAACCAACAGTCCAAACATCATGGATTTTCAGCAAGCAAAAACAGCAAATCCTCACAAATGAGAAGCTTGAACCAGATAAAGTTTGGCATTTTTCATGGCATGGCATGACATTTTGTGGATTCATTTTCTTTTAATCCACTTTTAGCACTGGAATTAAATAAACAATACTGATGTCATTCACACAAGTTCTCACAGTAAGTGGCAGAAGAACAGGAGAGAAGAAGAGCTGAGCGTTGACATGCTAGGGCTCAGTGCTCATTATACAGACAAACCTCACTGTTACAGACCAACTATTGCTGTATTCTACCCTATTAACTCTGTGGACTTTAGTTTTCCTATATTCACAAATTGTCTTTCACATATTGGGTTTATGTTTAATCAGTGTGATTCAAATCTTTGGAGAACTGAAATCTTGCCAGACAACCCTGCTGTAATAATAGTAAAAAAAAAAAACCTAATGGCTATTTGGATCGCAGCCTATGCTCCAGCTCGCCCACCAGTAGCACAACACCCTCAACTATACATAGACTACAATTGAATTTGGTGCCATAATCACAGTTAGTACAGTAGTTATCCTCTTACTGATGTTTAAGGTGACCCTAAGCTTTACATTCACCACAGTACACTTAAGTCAGGGGTTAAGACGTTTGACTAAAATTATAAATTGCTTCAAGGGGATTATCCAATTAAGTAAAAAAAACAGCTGTCAGTCAAAATGTAGTCACATCAAAGCACATCCATCCATGGAGGAATCCTCTGACTCATTCTGCCAAAAGTGGTTGGATTCCAGGAACGCAGCACACCTAACAGCTCGGATAAATCCCTGGAGGCACAGGAGGGGAGCCGTGCAAAGATTGCTACAATTGCAATGGTCAGTGTTGACTTAAGTGTTTTGCTCATAGTGCTTAGCAACAGCACAGCTATTAATTATCCAAATAAGCATCATATAGAGATCCATTTTTCTCTTCAAATAATAGTTGCTTTCTCTCTCAGTGGGTTTTCCAGCCCCTTCTAGCTAAGCAGCTTTAAACACCTCTGGTACTGACCTGGCAGAACTGGCCGCAGACCAAAAGGGCCTCTGGTGGGGGAGATGCCTCTGACGATGCAGTCGAACAGAAAGCTGATCTGCTCGCTCTCAGCAGATGTGAGCAAAAAAACACCGGCCCCTGTAGAAAGCAGAAATTATTAGTGTCACATTATTATCTCTTTTGCAATATTCTAGGGGGGAAAAAATAATTATTAAGATTTTACTCCTCAGGTAGTAATACATAAGAAAGATATCAAAAGATTGGCTGGGTATTATTTGAAATGTTTCAATAGGAGCGCCAATATGATTTAAACCTGGTACGCCAGCTTGTATGACCAACAAAACCAAAAACCCCAATATTTTCTTAGTTTACTATCACACAAGTCAAAGAAAAGCATCATATCCTCCTAACTAAGAAGCTGGAACCTGAAAAAGTTTGGCATTTTTTCTTGAGCAAGAGTCCACATCCAGGCTAGCAGTTCTATGTGCACAGCTGTCCATTGAGCTAATGCTCACAATGACAATTCTAATATACTGATGTTTAGCAGGAATAATGTTTATGTTCACCATCTCATTTTAGCATCTAAGCAAGCTAATGTTTGATTATTAGCACTGAACGCAAAGTACAGCTGAGGCTGATGGGAATGTCATTAGTATGTAGTTGTAAACAAAAGTATTGGAGTTCTACTTTGAGCTGATGATGGCGCTATATTCAAGAGTCAGGGGACCGAAGTTGTTACAATACAACATCCTGAGGGGGGGGCATAACATTTTTACCAAATTTCATGACAGTCCGTCTGATAGAAGTCAAGAACTTACACTGAAACCAACAAATGTTAACTTCATTGTAGCACTGTATGAAAAGTCAGAGCATCACCAAAGTCATTAACTAGGCCCCAATATCTATCTATCTATCTATCTATCTATCTATCTATCTATCTATCTATCTATCTGTCTATCTGTCTATCTGTCGGTCTGTTTGTCTGTCCAAAATTTGTGGCAATCCATCTAATAATTAAAAGTATTGAGGTTTGATACCCAGCCCTGGTCATGGCTGCTCTATAGATTTCATAATAAGTCAAAAAGAAATCTAATTTCCTCTTTCCTGCTTCCAGTTTGAATCAATCTAAAATTGTGTAAAGGTTAAAGGTCCTGCTCCGTACAGGGTCTCTTGACCTCCCCCTGCCAATACAAATGGCTGTCAATTACAAGGTGTCACCAATAAAGGGGTCGCTGTGTCGCCTTGTCCCTCAGACCACCCATGTCAAGGCAGACCTCAATAACAATCCCAACACTTCCCTGGCTGTGAGCAGGGTCAAAGGTCAGCAGCAGTCGAAATTGAAGATGTACTGCCGGCTTAATGCTGCTGGATCTGATTAAGAAAGTATCTCATCTGAAACTCTCCTCTGGCACAGAAACGGCTCTGGTTGACTCTGAGGCTGCATTTCATTTCTTCAGATATTGAGGAAACACATGCACTCATGTCATACTTCCATAGCAGGAGACTGAACATCAGGTGCACTGCCAAAAGCTAGAGTACAAAAAAAACAACCCCACAAAGCACAACAAAGAACAGGTGGCGGGGCTTGTCTAGTTTACAACCTGATAAAGATTCTGTGTAGGAACAAAAACAACTCAAGTGGACCCTTCTGGTCTCCCCTCTAAAAAAAAGTGATAAAATACAGCATCCATACAAAGAACTAATTAAATTATATTCAGTACGTTGGAAGTGTAAATTTACTTGAATCTTCACTCAGAGCCATGGCTGGCCTTTTTTATTCTTACACAAGCGAAGTCATCCAAGCAAAACAACCTCATATGGAACCAGTGCCAGCTTCCCTCAGAGGTACACACATACACCTTCTCCAACACATGTCTTAATAGTGCAACTTTATATAAACTAGTTTAGTCCCACCTACACCCACAAACAAACAAAGCTATCCAGTAAAGGTTCAGTGTGTAACATTTAGGAGGCTCTATTGGCATACATTGACTATAATATTATAGTATATAAGTATGTTTTCATTAGTGTGTAATACAACATACATAAAGAGGGGGAAAAAAGGTGGCATACACAATTCTAGGTAATGTGATTAATGAGATTCTAATTCAATTCCAATTCAGCGAATATCTCCTCATGGTCTGCTAGCTTTCCACTCTGTGTGCCCTTAAAAAAAGATCTGGTGCTTGTACACTCCTGGCTCCGGGAAACAAACAACCGATCCACACAACACCAACTTGTTATTACAGCCAGGATTTGTGTGTCAGGTAGATAATGTTAAATTACCTGCCCACGGTCTAGTTCGCCCACTTTCTACTTTGCCAAGATGTGTTGTAGTTGTGATGTTAGCTGTAGTGGCCGGAGAGTTGTGAGTAATGCCGGTGTGCTGTCTTTGGGAAATGATCTCGTCCTCTCTGTATGTTAGTTGCAGTTTGCAAACCCACAACATAGCCGACATTACTTGTGTTGTTCATCAGGATGACTTTTACAGAATTGCTTTCCCTTATCTTAAATCTAGTTTCAGTTCAGTCTAGTTGAGATTTTAAGTATTTATGTTTCCATTCATCTTTTCTATTGTCTACCTCTTTAAGCAGCCTTTTTTTGTTTGTTTAATTTTGTGATTCATGTATGACTGGATAACAGGAAGGCAGCAATTTCCCCTTTTGGGGATTAATAGTGTCAGTCCAGATGGGCTAAGGGTTTTATCTGTGTATACAGTACAGTAAATGCTCAAAAGAGCCCTTAAACACGTCTCCTCTCCATCAAACTTTGGCTACTTGGCTCGCATTTCCTACTAAAAAAACCTTGAGAAACCTTCTGGATAAACTATCAAGCAGGACATGGACAAAAGGTCGGACAAATGCAGCTCGCAGTTCTCCAGCTGCTTCAACCAGAAGTGAGAGGTCTGACACGGTTACACCACTTCTCCCTGTGCTGTGGATAAACTGTGCTGAGAGATTACATGTCACAGGAATGCACGCCCTTCAACACACAAACATTCAGACGCACCTTCATGTTCATTTCCTTCTGCTCTTTTTTTTCGCACAAGAAAGCGTAAGCGACGCCCGACCGTCTTCTTATTATGTGAGATTCGCTGCTGAAGATTTAATGGAGCTAAATAAATCCCACATCGCGTTCTTAAGTGTCATGTTTCCAGCGAGGTCATCGTGTGTCTGTAACGCTCTGATGTCTCTGGCGTTCCCCTCATGTCTGTCTCTGTCCCCTCCAGGTGTTGACACACACTCGCCTCTACTTTAATGTCTATTCCAAGAAGTAAACTGTGGTTTACCTTAACACGGGGGACACATACAGACTGTTATAGCTGAGCTTTGGGATAACTCTCGTTTCTCAAAAACAACTTCTCTGGAGTGACGCATGATGTTGAATTTTAGGCACAGCAGGGGTGATCCTGCACAGACTGAATAATCTTCCTCCAGCAGTTTCTTGTCATGAAGCAGATGTTTTTCCTAATGCTCAATCCACCAACTCAGAGAAAGAAAAACACCAGAAATAAATGAGAACAAGTGAAAAATAGTTTGCCATTACTCATCTAGATAAACTGAATAACCAATAACAGCCCACTATTTCAGTTTTATTAGTGAGATTTGGATTTAATTACACCCACGTTACAAACAAACATGTGGGGACCCAAACACATGACACATCAACATAACACCCATGTGTGAATGTCAAACATCTAACTCCACAACCATGGGCATGAATCCACTGCTCTAGTCTTTCTACAACATTTCAAAACCGGGGATTTGCTCCCACTCGGCCACATGAGCATTCATCAGGGCACTAGTTGTTGAGCTCAGTTGGTGGTGGGATCAAGGTTGAGATCAGGCTCTGTGTCTAGTTCTTCCACAACAAGCTCTGCAAACAATTTCTGTAAGAACCTGGTGTGTACACAGGGGCACTGTCAAGCTAGATGTATGAAATGGTCCAAACTGTTTCCACAAACTTGGAAGTTGTCTAAAACAATTCCCTATCAGGGTACACCCTCCCCGGATCTGAACTGACTGATAAAAACAGCAGCAGACCAGCAACCCGTGTTCTGTGAGTCAGAATTGTTGCTTTTGTTAAGGGAGTCTGGCTTTGGCTTTGAACAGAACTGATTCTGGTTAAACAATTCTTGTTACGCTTCAACAAAAACCCCAACATATGTAACAATGGAACCAAATAGAGAGGAAAAATACTCTAATTACCCTTTAAGTATATTAAATGGCACAATAACCAACTAAACTATCTGCTTAATAGGCCGACTGCACAGGATACGCCTCAGTTTCCCCAATTGACCTGAGTCAGGTTAAAACCATGTACTGGGATTAAGAGTGCATGAAAACTAGCTGTCAAGCAAGCAGAGATGACAAAAATTGATCATTTTAAGTAATGTTAGTAGTATGAACGTCAACTGGACGGGGGACAAGGTTTGGGAAACAGTAGTCTAAAACATAACTGTAGGCTCAGTGAAAGCATGAAAAGCAGCACTTTACAAAAATGAAACAAAATAATGTGCAAAGGGTGTTTTTCCCCTCCTCTATCTGGCTGTAAACCACATATTTGATTCAGAGTTGCACATGATGTTACTGTACTGGGAGAGTCATCGTAAAGGGAAGGGGCCGCTCTTTCTCAGGCCCAGTTGAATGAAAGCTGCTAATGAATCATCTTGAATCACAGCCGGTAATTATTTGGTCTGTTTGAAAAAGACATGAGCAAATCATGCCTCAGATAGCCATTTAATGAGCTATTAGTGTCTAATGATACAACACAATTTTACTCAAGAGTCATTATAGTCATGATATGATGAAGATGATGTTTAATTTGTTTTTTAAGCTCTTTCTTGTTTTGTGACTTTTAATCTTTTACTTATTGTGTTTTTTTATATCTTCCCTTTTTGTCAAACACACAGTAATTTGTGGTTTTGAATATATTAACTAAATTTACTAAATAAATGGTCCTAAATGGTCATTAGTCTCAGAATTGTTTTTATAGTTCTTTTAGTTCCCTGCATGCTTCCCAAACACAAGTGTGCTGTTTCAGCCTAATACCCAATTACCTTGATGAACCATCTGCCAAACACAAATCAGTTTATGGAACCAAATAATAACTAAATGGACTATTTACCTAATCTAAACATATCCAAGTGCAGCATAAAAACAACATAAAGAGCAATAAACTTACAGTAACCGCATCTTGTTCCTCCCTCAAACACAAATCCATTGGGTACAGGCCCATATCTGCGCAGGTCTGGAAGGTTCCAGTGGCCGATAATAACCGGAGGGACATCCCGGGCGAGGGCCAGTAGGTTGTTGCACAAATGAAGGGTTGCAGGTCCACTCTCCAACTTGGTTCCTGGTAAGACTCCAACACTGAATCTGTGAACTAAGCAAACAATGAAGAAAGGCCAATGACAAACTTACAACTTCAAACCTAATCAAACAATTCTCAATCAATCTTCAGAAGTAGAGGGACTTGCACTACTGGACCCGTAAAGTCTGCCCAAGAAGTACCTCAAGCGTGTCTTTTGCAATATGTTGACATTCACTGTAATGAGGTGTGTAGGGACAAAAAACGCGGTTGAATTCATGCTAAAGCAATCGTCAATGTAGCATCAAAATTGTAATGGCAGATGGGACAAAAGTGGCCAAAGTGGGTTCTCTGTTTAAAGGAATAGCTCAACATTTATTTACTCCGCTGCTGAGAGTTACATGAGAAGATCAATACCACTCATAACTGTACATCAATGGAGTTAAGCCAGTTAGCTTAGCATAAAGCCTGAAGACAGTGGAAAAAGCAGTCAGCCTGGCTCTGTCCAAAATGGTTGCCTGGCAATTTCACGGTAACAACAAGACTCCCGGAAGTCACACAATCCCTGTAAAACCACAACATGCTGTTTGGGCTTGACTTTTTGTAGGTATTAAAGAAACAAAACATAACCTGTACATCAGTGAGCTTTGGAGGTGCTAGTAGGTGAGTTTTCTTACCTTTGGACAGCACCAGGCTAACTGTTTCCAGTCTTTAGGCGAACCAACTGATGGTGGTCGCTTCGTATTTACTGCACAGGCTTGAGAGTGGTTACACCCTTCCTATCAAAGTATTTCTCAAAATGTCATCATGTCACTGGAGTGCCCATTTTAACGTTGATAAAAATATTCTGGTCAGAATCCACTGACATAAAGGGGAAAAGAGAGGTTGAAAATAGCTTCAGTTCAACTTTACTTTTGGAAAGAAAACACAGTGTCCTTACACAGTGATTACTTCAGCGTGGATTTGATTTCATTCAGCAATAAAAAATAAAAAAAAAGGAGAAACAGCTGCACGCAGAGAATGAAATCAGCAAGCTGAGCTCTGAACACAACAGGCTCAGATCTAAAGCCCAACGCAATCAATCACAGCCTGTCGTAAAACATCTGTGTAATTGGGTCTGTTTTATTGTTGCTAATAAGAAAACCAACGAAGAAAACTGGATGTCTGAGCACTAAATTAGTCTTTCTGCCTGCGAGTTTCTGGAACTTCACCCAAAGCGTGCACAGAGTTCCCCAGCAGCGCTCCGACTTTTACTGCTGAACAAACTCCGCCAGGTGAGATTGATGGAGGCGATGATGATGAGGAAATGTCGGCCAGCCGCGTCACGTCATCACTCAGGTTAAGATAGATTCATACGGTGTCTCTCACACACACACACACACACACCAAAAGCTCTGTGTACTGTGGCCCTCAGCCCATAGGCTGGCAGGTGACATTTCTGAGGCTTTGGACACACTCCACTGTGGCATTAAGCATTGGGCCACGCGCACACACACCCCCCCACACACACACACACACACACACACACACACACACACACACACACACACACACACACACACAGGTGCATCCATACAAGCAAGGCGCACACATATATTTTCACATGCTCACCTGCCAGATTGTTAGGGACAACTGCGATGCAATTTGTCTTTAGCACCACGTCCTCTTGCACACAATAACAACACTGTCATTAGTGACTGTTTGAAATTTCAGCTCGACTCCAGTCACCAGCTGAACCCTCCAAGTCTATTCATAGCTCCGATCTGTTTATCACTTATCAAACTTATATAACAGAACCACACAGCAGACTGTATACATGTCAGCAAAAAGTTGTCTCAATGCCTGGCTATAAATTAACATTTCATTCTATGTCAGAAATGAATAGAGCATGAATATTACAACAATAATTCTCATCATGACATAACTCGCAATAAACTTATAAACAACTTTGTAAAAGTTGTTTAATGGCAATTAAAAGTTTGCCTGTCATGCGATCTGCTAAAAGATCTTCGTGATGCAAACTCATTTGTTTTAATAGGGAAGATGAGGCAAAACCATGTGACAGAATGATGACACCTGTAGTTTTTTTTCAGGGATGATCTGTTAAATTCTGGTTGATCTCACATCAAATAAAAGTAGAACGTTGATTAAAAACAAAACACCAGAGTTCCTTGTCTTAAACTGCTGTAGGCCTATTGATGTACTGTGTTAAGCCTGCATCTTCATTACAACTGTTTTCATCACTTATAATAGAGCTTTAGATATTTTCAATATGATCAGAACATGTTTTCTCCATTAAAAAGCGTATTTGGGCAAAATTTTAGATTATCATTACATCAATTAAACCAGTAAAACCGGACAGCTTTTTATGTCAGAGGAGCTGGAACATGCTACCGGATCATTTGATATTTGCTACTAATTTCATAACTTTTAAGTTAAGAGAGCAACCTGTAGCCATGTATACTTTTGAAATGTGTTGTCTTTAATTGTGTTTTATGTGTTCTTTGTATTCTTTATTCTAGGGAAGGGTGTTTGCGAATCAGCATCTGCTATAAAACACTACAACACTTATTTCCAAATGATTTCCTAAATGATGCTCTTGTCTACCTCACCTTGATTTAGAGGTAAATTATTCATGCCGTTGTTTCACCCAGGCTGGACTTCTGTACCGTGTTGTTCCCTTTGCTTAAATAAATCATCAGTCAAGGAACTGCAGAGCGTGCCCTGCCTTTGTTTCACTTGCTGCAGGTGAAACACAGGACTCAATATTCTACTGATCACCTGTAAGGCTTTAAGATATCAGGCCCATGGATATATTCATGAATTGCTGACCCCCTTCTCCTCAGGCAGGACTCTATGGTCATCCGACCAGAGCTTACTGACTGTTCCCTAATCAAAAATATCAAACTTTAGGTTGACATTGTTTTAAACAGCATTTAAAGGCAATATCACTGCTGTTGAGGGCAGTTTATGTGTTATACACTCTGGCTTTTTTTGACTTGTGAAAGCTGCAAACTTACTGACTTATAACTAAAAATTGTTGTTTTCATAGGTTTGGCAAATTGCAGGGTCCTTTGACTTCAGTGTATTTTGAAACCTGCCGAAAAGATGGATGAACTAATCAGGATGTTTTGAACTGTTTTCACTACAGAATAGTGAGGTCAAACATGTTATCAAGAAGTCACACTTCTTGAAAGGTTTTGAGAAAAAAAACACCCAAAAAAAGTGAAACACCGGAAGAACCAAACACTGAAGCACAGTGCAGCCGGATCCCCTCACCTTCTCCGAGGCTGTATCGCAGGCGGACCTCCCACGCCTGCAGGGCCTCCTTGCTGTCGAAGCCCAGGAGAGCAGTTTGGTTCAGGCAGACGATGGCCAGAGTAAAAGCCACGCCTTCATACCACTGTCCCACTTCCAGACCGCAGATCTCCTCCAAGGTGACACTGGCCCTCTCCTTGTTGCCCTGCGCTTTGTCAGACTTATCCTTAAAAACCAGCAGCACGAGGCAGTCTGGAGGAGTAGGGGAGTCAGTAGGAGACACAACAAAAGCATAAAAACACATATTTCTTGTTTCTAATAGCAACTGTGCTTAAAATGCAGTTAAAATGACAGTTTAAGACACAACAGCTCCCAGGAATGAACTGGAAACGCAGTTAAAACTCCTAATTATTCCAACTACTAACACTAATTAGATGTATTCTGACACACGGTAGCTGTTGTAGTGTCCTCTAGTCTTTTGGCACCTTCAAACAATCAGGGTCAACTGACAAAACAAGACCGGGTGTCCGTGTGTGCATCTCTCGCACACACACACACACACACACACACACACACACACACACACACACACCAGAGGCATGAGCGCAGACAGCTGTGATAACACCGGCATCGAAGATCTGAAGAGGAGCGGCGCTCAACCTCAGCCTAACCTGTGGAGTATGTTAAGCCGTCCAGCACCAGATAGATCCAAAGAAAGCTTTCTGTGTAATGCAATACAGCCAACTTCATCACTTTGATTGCTGGTTTATTATTAATAAAAAGACAAAAATGGAAAGTTGATGAATTCAAGGGTTTAGATAACCTCAAAGCCCTCCTCAATAAGTGTGACTTAATAAGTAGAAATTTACTCAGAGGACATTTATGGCTTTAAATATACAGCAGGGACTATCAGGCTTTGGCACACGGACTTTGAGGATGGGGGGAAATATCATATCAGCTTTTGTAAACCTGAGAGAAAAAAACTAATCCAAGCAGTAGAAAAGATTTGTACTATAAAAACATTTAAGAATGTCAAAATAAAATGTGTGCTGTTCAATTTACATAAAACAGTTTAGTTACATCTGATTCAAAACAGAAAGCTGTGACATTTAAAGTTACACATTCAAATTACCTGAACTGATTTTAGCCCTGCTTTCACAGTGGGAATTTAGGGCCAATTACCACTTTACATCTTCACAAAAGCACTTATTTATTCAGATATTTCTTGTACCTTAACCTCGCAATTTTTCTTTTTTTACTCTTCCTCAGTTTATTTTTCTTCCAGTACAAACACACTTCACAAACAAACCACACGCGTTTCCCGTGTATTGTTTTTAAAGGATAAAAAAAAAAACACAGGTTCTTTTTGACCCTTATTTGAGCCCATAAGCAAGGCCCAACTCCTGAAATATACGAACACAAACCAGGCCTCATCAAAACAAGGGGGTCAACTCAACTGGAGAACACACGCCTGCTAGCGAGGACCAGCGTCCGTCCAGCACCGCTTCCTCCGCGGTGGCGCAGCTGGGAATGCGCACTCATTAGTTTACGCACTGCGCCAAAGCTCCGCATATTAACCGGAGCAAGAAAACCAACGTGAAATGTGCAAACTTGACCAGTAAAAGTTGTTTTTTTGTTGTTGTTTTTTTTACCTGCTACAGGCGACGGCTTGCGAAGAACGAGCCACCTAGTTTTCCACTGTGGAAGGAAACAAAAGCAGAGAGAAACTTTTTTAAGCACAGATGAAAGCGCGCTGAGGTACTTCTTCCATATCCGTCAGCAAATTTAGTCGAGCTAAACACCTTTTTCCCATCTCTGAGTCTGGCATATCCCTCCACGACAACAGAATCCGTCATCTTCAGTCATGGTTCCTGACAGCTGCAGAGTCGCTGCCTGAATGAGGGGTCACTTTCAAAATAGCTGCTCTCTCTGCTAGAGGGGCGCAAACTCGCCCCCAGCAAGGCGCACGGAAAATGGCATGACCAGTGTCTGTCTGTCTGTCTAACTGTCTGTCTGTGTGTGTGTGTCAGTGTGCACCAGCCAACCGACCATGCTGCCACCTGGGCTGGTTTACACCACCTGCTGCCGCAGGGAAAACTACTGGAAGACGCAACCGCATGACTCTCATACCACAAATACCACATTTCATTTGAAGTTAAGAAGCATGTTTACACGCTCTGCTTTAACAACTATACACACAGATGCATGTTTTTGTTGTTGTTATTATTATCAGAAAACGTTAACTTTGTCGCAAAAAACACCTGCAAATAATGGAAGTGGCCCTTCGCATGTGTAATTGTATGTGTTTGAAATACATTCTGGTATTGCAGAGGTTTAAACTTAAAAGTTATACATATTTGTATGAAAATGTTAATATTAAACGTTGAAGTGTTGAAAGTAGGTGGAAGTTCCAGTTAAAGTTAAAAGTATAAACACTGAATGAGGTTGAAGGGCTGAGTGAAGCTGAAGCCAACGGTATCTGTTGAGCGTCAGCTGCATGTTCAAAGAGTTTAAAATGATCTGCATATACAAATATATGTGAAACATATTTTGCATGGTTGCACAAATGCATTAGGTTAAAGTTTCAAAATCAAGAATGAACGTTGATTGCTTAAAATAACTTTAAAGAACCAATCTTAAAATAATAACTAATCCATCTTCCTGACAACTAACCAAACTCCACACAGCTGAAAGCTCTGGAAAAAGTTAGTAAGTGCACCTTGAGTTGGGATTTGTTTTGTGAAAACATTTTAAACTGTCTAAAACCATTCATTAAAGACAAAACTTCATCAAGTCAGTAAAGGTTTATTCAGTCACAAAATGTTTCACAGTTAAAAAATATAACCTATAAACTTCCACAAGCGTTGCAAATAAAAACAGTAAAGAATACAATATAGTACAATATCTCATATATTTAAGTTAATGTCCAGGTAATGAAGCCTTGGGTTTGCGTCTGATCACCGAATCGATCCAGTCGATGTAGTTCACCACTTTAGTGTAAACACCAGGTTTTCCAGAGCGGCCGCAGCCCTCCCCCCAGCTGATGATCCCATACAGGAAGCTGACATCATTCCTCGCACAAGCCAGCGGGCCCCCAGAGTCGCCCTGGGGGGAAACACGTGATTAGATACACACATAAACATACATGCCCAGATCAAAGCAGAGGCGCACAAACAGCTGAGTCACTCACTTGAAACCTAATACATGAGGTAAATAAATAACTGTGACATTTCATTTAAGGTGAAGCAGCTAAAATATTTTACACGGGAGGTTGAGTGGTTAGTCTGGCGCTGCAGTTTTTCAGACCCCTCGCTAACTTCCCCCTGGGTGCTTCACTCAGGGGAATCCCTGCTGTCATCTTAAGTGCCACTCCATTACTCCAATACCTCGAGTCAACTTTCTGATATCGACCCTTCCAGAGCCGAGGGAGGAGGTCAACAACAGTGTAGGCTCCAGGAGTCTATTTTACCCGAAATACTTTTATGATCAGTCGTAATTTCCAATAATCCAGAGCAACAAGATTTTAAAAATAGGAGCTGTTTTATGGTGTGGAGTAGAAAATTTATTTTTACATTAACATTATTTGTTTAGTTTTTTAGTACCTATTAACTGCCTGGTGTAAATGTTAGGTAGCTGAAAGAACCAACAGACAAAGCTAATGTTAGCATTTAGAGAGAAAAGTAAAATAGATATTGGGGGAATGGTCGACACATCTGACCTCACATTTGATTAAAATGTTGTTTTAAAATTACATTTGGCAAAAACAACACAATCTACCTTGAAGTATAAAACTTTACTTTTACTTTTAAGAATAAACATATACATTTGATCCTCATAACGTGTTTTGTTTTTTTCGAACAAAAGAATCGAAACAATATGACGATAGAGAACATAACCAGCCACTTGTCAGCCGTGGATTTAATAAAGCCTCCTACCTGGCAGGCGTCGACACAGCCGTTGAGCCCTGCGCAGAACATGTCAGCAGTGACGTGGTTGCCGTAAACTTCTGGCCTCCTGCAAGTGTCATGAGGAATCAGTCTCACCCCACCTTCCTGCAGACTGGAGTAGCCCTCCGCCTCTGTTAAATAAAACACAAATAACTCATCACATTACAAGAAAGTGGGACCTTGTTAACCCGAACAGTGCTGCACCAATTATACTAATTAAGGTTCTGTTCCATTTAGTGTAGCAGCGCCAACATGCAGCACCCTGACTCTGTCTGACCTGAATGAATGAATGAATCTGAACTTTAATTAGTAACTGGTAACACCCTACTATTTCATGTCCAAATGGCTGCTGTGAAAAAAGGTCTATGATATTGTCTACAAGACGCCAACACACCAAGTTTAACACACAGGTTTAACATCGCCATCATTCTCTTGTCCTTGTTGTCATCTGTCAGGGAAGGACAATTTACACTATCATCACTGTTGTTAGTTAATAAAGTTTTGTGACAACACATCATTTTCTAGCACAGCTAAATTCAAAGAGATTAGTTGTTATTAAATATTTAAACTCAGTAGCTGCCAGATGTAACTGTTGTGTGTAGCTAACTGAAATAGATTAGCAGACAAAATGACATTAGTTTGCTAATAAATGACCTGTCTAAAGTGACGAGTTAATTAGGTAACATGGAATAAAGCTGACATATCTGAACTGACATTTGGTTAACTATTAATATAATCACCGGTTCTTTTCATAATTAATCATCAATCCTCGTTTTGAGACGTTTTGTAAGAAAAAATGACCAAATTCTCTGATTTCAATGAATATTTTCTGGTTTATTTATCTATGACAGTAAACTGAATATCTTTAGGATGTGGATAAACGAACTTTGAGGACTTCAACTTTATGGACCAAACAACTAATCGATGAATTGACAGATTAATCGTTAGTTGCAACCCTAAATTTATACAGCATAACTCACTGTCGGTGAAACACACATTATAAATAAAACAAAGTAATACCCATATTTGAAAAAAATTTACCGTTAAGTTTAATATAATGCCAAAACTTTTTGGAAGTTCTGTTATAGCTTGCGATGCTACAGTGACTTCCTGTTTACATACAGTAGGTGATTGCTTTTGATTGGATGCCGCTACAGCAGTTTTCTAGCAACTGATTTATGGATTACTAAAGACTTTACAAGCTAAGACATTTTTAAATTTGAATGGTACAACTCAATTTACTAAATCAGTAGTTTGAAACAAGCTAGCAGTTCCTAAGAACCATGTAAAAGTGCAGAAAGTGAAGCTAATGTGCAAACACATGCTGGTTCTGACAGTTTAATGTATAAACAAGTAAATAATTTAGTGGTGTTGCACTTCCCGTATCAAATAATCAGTCTGTGATCTGTTCCAATGATTAATGCAGATTATCATGATGACACTGAAATCGCACTGCACTGCCATGATTTCCTCATCACTTACTCTCATGCATGTGTCCCCAGCCGCTAATAGTACAGCAGTAGTCATCAGGGAACGTCATGCTTTTCTCTGGAAGACAGATGGGTTGGATGAACGGGGTTTTCCTCACACACCTCCCGTCCTGCTTCTTCAGCTTGATCAGAACTGGAAAACGGAAACGGAGTGTTATGAAACGGGCAAATGGACGATGAAAAGTGGTAGTGGTAGTTTAAAAAAATGAACCAAGTGGCAGACTTGGAGACTCCGCTGGCCAAATGAAAATGCCACACCCAACCATCAGTGTGTGTATGTATGTGAGAATGTATTCATGCGGGGGAGTACAGGGACACAGCTGCTCAGTGACGCACAGCTGTGCACGCAGACCGGGGCCTGAAGTGAGTTTCTGAATGGGGACAGGAGGTCTTATAGTTTATGTGAGTCATTGGTATACGTGTGTGTGTGTGTGTGTGTGTGTGTGTGTGTGTGTGTGTGTGTGCGCAGTTAATGATTACCAATGTCATGTAGTGTTGGATTAAACACTGAGAACTGTTTTGGAAAGATGTACTCCTCCACTCCGAATGTCTTGCTGTTGGGACCGGTGACGTTGAAATTCTGCTGGCCGAGCACCACGCGGAGCTGAGACTTCAGGGGGCTGAGGGAAGACACACTTTTATCACTGAACGGTACAGCAAGGTGTGCGGTCGTAATACTTAAGTTTGTCCATCGGTCTGTCCAACTTTTAGTGCAGAGTCCTTGAAATTCACTGCGGGTGATCCGGAGAGGATGAATCCTGGAACTCCTCAACCTTCCTTTTAGCACAACTACTATCTAATTGGTACATTTCCATGAAATGAAAATCTGTCTGGTACATTTATTCTCCCCAGAGGATTGACCCTTTCCACTTTAAAACCTGATTTAATGATCTATTGGCTTTCCCCGAGGACAAATATGAACATTTTTAGCCACACCGCTGATAAGATTCTAATAATAGTTAAATCTCCAGTATGTTGTTCATTATGTTCATGACTTCTGTGCTGCGGGGTGTGATGAACATTGTGGACTCTTGTTCTGCTTTAATTAGTTTAACCAAATCCCAGCTGATACAAAAAGCAGCTTAGCAGTAAGAGTATGTTCATAAGAAAGAAAGCCTTGCAGATATCATATACTGTATCCTTTTCAAACAGCAGTTTTCTGAATATATATAATGACTGTTAAACTCTTAAACTACTCTGTACTTCCATTCATTGCTAGTGATGGCCAATTCAATGATGTAACGCTTTAGCTGAAGATCTCTGAACTTGGTCAGTGACAACAGATGCCTGTTTGTTGACATCAAAAGGGAAGTGTAAACAGCATCCGTGTGCATGAGACATTTTTAGGTTTTCCTCGAACTGGATGCTTGTCTAAATATAGTGTGTTCATAAAGCTGCGATGATGAGGGGTCAAAGTCTTTACATCACGTGCCTTTTGAGTTGCGACCCCTTTGTTCAGCCACAACGGGCAGCAAACACTAACAAAAAAATTATTCTCCTGTCTGAGCTATGAAAGTTTTCTGAAGCGTGATTTTTTCATTGCTGACTCAAACTGGGTGCTTTCATCCTTTCACACACAGCCTGAAAAGGGCTCCCAAGGAC